GGAGGGGAATGGGGATAAGGGGTTGGGCAGCGGGAGGGGAATGGGGATAAGGGGTTGAACAGCTGGAGGTTGGGCCAGCGAGTCGTTAAGGGGCGATCCTCCTGATCCTGATGAATGACACGGCTGTGACCCTGAGTGTTGTAAGAGTGTCCGTGTGTCCCTCTTTACATGCATTGCATGCCGTGCATCCCATTTCCTGTCTGGCAGTGTCACAGCCCCGGATGGGGCCGATAGTCACGCCGGGTCCAGGGCGTCATCAGATCTAGAATCCATCTCGTTTGATGTGAAAATATATCCTGTCTGCTTATCAAGATGCTGGTTTGCTTTGCCCCATGTCCCACACTCCCCAGCCACTTCCCGCCTTATTACCCAAGATTAATTAGGAACAGATATGTCCAGCATCTTTAGCCAAAGTGTCCGTTGTTTATGCAGATGTGTCCAATATCTGTAGCCGAAATGTCCAGTGGTTTTTGCTAAAGTGCCGAATGTGTTTAGGAAAGGTGCTGGGTGTCCTTAGCTAAAGTGTCCGGTATCATTAGCTGATGTGTGTATTGTTTTTAGCCGAAGTCTTCACCAGGGACATTTTTCAAATACTTATTAGGGCATGAGGGGTAAAATTTTGTTGACATTGTAGTTAACTTGGTTAATCTAAGTACTGTGTTATTTAACTACGCTGTACTTGTTCCGTATAAAGTTTGAGATGATGGCTTTTCTCTTTTCAATCATATGGCAAAGGAAAGGGGGCATTAAGATTATGAGTATGGGGGTCGGGTATGTAGACAAGATGTGGGCTATGCTTCTGACCTGAGTACACTCTAGACACGCCCCTGGTGTTCATTGTCTTAGTCAAAGTGTCCACTGTTTTTAACTACAGTGTCTAGTGTATTTAGCCAAAGTATACAGCATCTTATCAAGGTGTTCATTGTCTTTTGCTAAAGTGTCCATTGTTTTTAGCCAAAGTGTCCATTGTTTTTAGCCAAAGTGTCCATTGTTTTTAGCTAAAGTATACAGTGTCTTTATCCAGTGTGTCCAGTGGTTTCAGCCAAGGTATCCAGTGCCTTTGCCAAATATTCCAGTGTCCTTATTGACATGTTAGTTTTGCCTGGACTAAGTGATCTGGCTGTCTGTATTTTAAACATTAGTGTGTGAGTATGTTTGCTGTTCTGATCCATTTTTTGTCCCTTGTAGGATTCTGAGCAACAACCGCATCAGGACGCTGAGGAATGAGTCTTTCTTAGGACTGACGGCCCTGGAGAAGCTGTGAGTAGCCTCTCTTCTCCTACCTTCATAGCTGTGCCGCAGCTGGAAGAGAATCCGACTAGGAACTGCTGAGATGCTTGCGGAGATCTGGTTTGACTCCCAATGTCCACAATGTCCACTCCAGTTTTATACAGCCACACCAGTCAGCGCGAGGGCGGGACTGGCCCATCTTCTAACATCTGTCGATCCCACCACTTCGCTATCAAACGGGCCATCCGCCAGCAGGGAGGAAGCAGCATTATGAGCGGCTAGCAAAGAGTTATGTGGGAAATACGGAGTAATTACAGCACCATCCGTCAAGGCAAGGCGAGCCCCACATCATAGGGAGAGATAAGGCTGTCGGCAGTGGCTGGCCTCCCTCGTGGCTCGGAGGAAGAGTCAGGCCTGATGGCCCCACGCTTGGCTGAGGCCAACTCATCTTGCTCTTCTCAAGATGCTCATTGGGGGGTGTGGGGGATCCTCCAGAGCAACGGCTTACAGCTGCATATCTGCATTGCTGGTTTTCCAGCTGCCACAGGCCATGATAGATCCTTCAGAAATGTTGGAAGTGGGGCACAGGTATGGAAGAGGTGCAGAGGTATGAGAGGGGCACACGTATGAGAGAGGGGCACAGGAATGGAAGAGGCACACAGGTAAGAGAGAGGAGCACAGGTTTGGAAGAGGGGCATGGGTATGGAAGAGGGAAACAGGTATGAGAAAGAAGCACAGGTATGGAAGAGGGACACAGGTATGAGGGAAGAGGTGCAGAGGTATGGAAGAGGGGCGCAGGTATGTAAGTGGGGCACAGGTATGGAAGAGGGGCAGAGGTATGAGAGAGGGGCACAGGAATGGAAGAGACACATGGTTATGAGAGATAAGCACAGGTATGGAAGAGCGGAATACATATGGGAGAAGAGCACAGATTTGGGAGAGGGGCACAGGTATGAGAGAGAAGCACAGGTATGGTAAAGGTGCAGGGGTATGGAAGAGGGGCAGAGATATGAGAGAGAAGCACAGGTATGTGAGAAGGACATAGGTGTGATAAAGGAGCACATGAATGGAAGAGGCACACAGTTATGAGAGAGAAGCACAGGTATGGAAGAGGGGAACACATATGGGAGAAGAGCACAGATTTGGGAGAGGCACTATACCATGTGAGAGATGCACAGGTATGAATGAGGGGCAAAAGCGCACCCTAAATGTTTATGTGCTGCTGTCTAGTCACCACACCACACTCCGAAACACTGTGTGACAATTCCACTGCTTTAAGCCCTTGTCTGGAAATGTCTCTTAATAAAACATTCTGTTTGGTTGGCTTGGCTTCATCTCATTTTCAGATTTATGTATTTTTTTAACTGAAGCATCTTTGACTGTTTGAAAGAGTAAGTGCTTTGGCTTTCTGGTGAAATTCTCACCGGCCAGCTCTGTGTTAAACACAGACTGTGGTTATATTCTCAGTGGTACAACTTCTGTGAGTGAGTGATGGCTGATGAGGGAACCAGAGCACCTTCTGCCAGCTTTTTGTGAGGCGTATGGGACTGGCACACGTGCCACTAAGCAATTTCTGTATCTGACCGTGTGATTCCACACGTGCCACTAAGCGATTTCTGTATCTGACCGTGTGATTCCACACGTGCCACTAAGCGATTTCTGTANTGATTCCACACGTGCCACTAAGCGATTTCTGTATCTGACCGTGTGATTCCACACGTGCCACTAAGCGATTTCTGTATCTGACCGTGTGATTCCACGCGTGCCGCTAAGCGATTCCCACGTTTGGCCGTTTGATTCCACGTGTGTCACTATGCGATTTCTATGTCTGATCATGTTATTCCACGTGTGTTGCTTAGAGATTTCCATGTCAGGCCGTGTGATTCCACACAGGTTGTTTAGCGATTTCTGTGTTTGGCCGTGTGATTCCACACGTGCCACTAAATAATTTCCGTGTCTGGCCATGTGCTTCCATGGGTGCTGCTAAATGATATACGTGACTGCCCGTGTAATTCCACACAGGTTGCTAAGCGATTTCCGTGTCTGGCCGTGTAATTCCATTTCTGTTGCTAAGTGATTTCCGTGTCTGGCCGTGTGATTCCATACATGTTGCTAAACGATTTCTGTGTCTGGCCATGTGATTCCACGCATGTTGCTAAGCAATTTCCGTGCCTGTCCATGTAATTCCGCATGTTTTGCTAAGTGATTTTTGTGTCTGGCTATATGATTCCACCTGTGCTGCTAAGCGATTTCCGTGTCTGGCTATGTGATTCCACGCATGTTGCTAAGCAATTTCCGTGCCTGTCCATGTAATTCCGCATGTGTTGCTAAGCGATTTCTGTGTCTGGCCTTTTGATTCCACATGTGCCACTAAGTAATTTCTGTGTTTGGCCATAAGATTCCACGCGTGTTGCTAAGCGATTGCTGTGTCTGCCCGTGTGATTCCATGCGTGCTGCTATGGGGCCGTTGGTTCCAGCATTCTGCCGTGTCTTGGCACAGCCCAGCAGGGGCCAGAGCAGAGACGTTAGCTGGACGTGAAGTGAAATGCAGCTCTGCTTGCTTTGGCAAATGCAAACCAGAGGTCCCCCTTTTCCATGCCTCCCCACCTATTCCCAAGATGTGGTGCTGGGGTGGGCCAGGGGGGGGTTTCGGACGGGCGGGTATGCAGCGCTGGCCCGCTCACTGGCTGTAGCTGTACCTGGGGGATGGGGATCTGGACCAAAGGCCAGGCAGTGAGAAAGGCTCACATGGCTAGTTCTGGGGTGGGGGTCCGTTTCAGAGTCATTAATCACTCCGGGCCGCACAGAGACTCTGAGCTTGCCGATTCCTCACCAGAGACAGTTTGTTTATTCACATCACAGCAGAATGTCCCCCCCCCACCCGCTGGAGCTGCAGGCCTCTGCCCCGGCCATGTCCCCCCTCCCTACTGTGAGAAGTGTGTCTATGGTGTGTCCGTGTGTCCGTGTGTTTGTGCCATATATGATGCGAGGCCTTGTAACCCTCCCCTCCCACCCGTGCATGCCTGCGAGGGCTTCCAGTGCTGGTGTAAAACAGCCCGCAGATCCCGCAGAGACAGAAAAATGCAATGGCGCATGGGAGTCTCACTGTATTTATATCTGGGGGCCCGAGCCCCTCCATGGTGGGAGTCTCCCACTCCGATCAAGACGCACCGGCGGGGTTAACTGCGCCGTTTCCGTCACGCCATGACAAATTCCTCCCTGGCCTCCTGTGCTGTTTCTGCACTTTTTGGGGGCTGTTTTCCTTGGTTCATCTGCTTGCTCGGTCACTCTACTCCCTCCACCCCACCCCACTCTCATTGTTTCCGTGGGCCGGTCTACATGTGCTTGTCATTTGGAAACGGTGGCGAGCACTTACACATACGTGTGGTCAGCCCTGTAATCAGGAGGAAATGAACACGGGGGAATTACAGGCCCGCCCTGGCAGCGGGGGGGAAAGGGGGGCACTTGGGCCCTTTACAAGCCCGCCTGGGCAGTGTGGGGTGGCGCTGGGCCCTTTCAGGCCCGCCTGGGCAGTGTGGGGTGGCGCTGGGCCCTTTCAGGCCCGTCTGGGCAGTGTGGGGGGGCGCTGGGCCCGTCTGGGCAGTGGGGGGGTGCCCTCTGCAGGTCCGCGTAACGCGTGTCCTATTATGGACATCTCAAGCTCCCCTGGCTGCACCTCAGACTGGCACTCTCCAAACAGACTTGCGAGGCCCCCCCCCTGGTGGCATGGACGTGGGGCAGACTCCTGTCACCTGGCCGCACCAATAGGGTTCCTGAGCGCCACCGGAGCGCCTTCCTCTGGCATGGGCCGGCTGCCGTTCACAGGGGCATCATTCCCGTCAGGGCTGCTCTGAGCTACCCTGAGAGTCCGTCCGAAACACTGGCCAAGCCCCTACCCACCAACCCTGATATACCTCAGTGTGCTCTGGGGACCAGTGGCCTCCGGGACATTCAAGTTTCCTTCCTACCAAACCTTCAGCTGGTCCCAGGAAGCTTTGGCCCTGCTGGATTGGGGACAGACACAAGCCCCCTGAATGAGGCCTGTCCCGCTAACGAGCTGTGGACAGATCCCAGCATCCTGTCCCGGCGCTGATGTGAGGTGCGGTAATGACATTAATGAGCTGAGAGGGGGCCTGGCCGCGCTCCAGCCCAGACCCCGCTGCTCCAGGCGGGACACGGGACAGTCCAGCCACAAGGGGCCCTCATTACTGTCCGCTTTGAGCCACGGGTGGAGAAGGAGGTGAGGACGAGGCGGCCAGAATTAGGGAGCAGGGGGGCAGAGATTGGTGACCATGTATGACTGAGGTAGGGTGTGCCCTGTGGGCCTGGGTGTGTAGCCTATATGTGGCGCTGCTTGTGATTGGTTTGCATGAATGGTCTCTGTGCAGCTGATTGGTTGCTGAGGGATGTAAGGAAGGTTTGCTTTCTGATAGGCTGTGTCGGTCAGAGGTGCTGGTTTGAGTGACTTGCTGCCGCTCTGTTGATGTCAGCAGCATAAAGCATCTCCTCATAGAGGACACGTGTCAACGCCAGTGCTAATGGTCACAGGACTCCTGTGAAGGCTCCTGTGAAGGCTCCCCAGGTTGGAGCGGACCTGTGAAGGACCAGGCGAGGGAGCAGGCAGAGGAGGGCGAACCAACACGTAGCCCGGCGCTCCTGCTTAGCTGGTGTCAGACTCTGATTTCCACTGGCTGCCTTGGTGGGGAGGGGCAGCTCCTGAGCTAAGTGCCGTGCTTTGCGGGGACCTGGGGGCCGAGCTGCCAGGGGCCAGCCTTGGGGAAGGGAAGGGGGCGGCGGCCGCGGTCCAATTTCACTGACTATCCGGAAAAAATAAACCTCCCCCCCCAAAAAAAACAGCTGAGTGGGCAGGAAACTGGTAGGCTGGTTCCTCTCAGAGCAGCCGAGGGGCCGTCTGTTTATTTACCCGTGGACGCCTCCCCAGCCCTGGGGTCTGGCGCTGCTGGGGGGGGGGGG